GAATTCTCCAATTATTATTATTTTTTAAAAATACGTCTACATAGCACAAACTTACTATATTATTATAATATATTGTTTATATAATTTGACAAATAATTTTTTTTAAACAAACACAAATAAATTAATTAATAATACACAGACATACATATATGCATATGTATCGGAGCAGGACCACCAATTTTGAAACTTTCACGAGCTTATTAATTAGTTTAATTTTTGAATGCTCTCTCATTTATTGAGTAGATCATGCTCCATTGGAACCTATTATTATTCATTTATCTCAGAAGGTTGAATCCCCAACTCCAAAGACCCTCACATCCCAACCCGACAGAACATATGGAAATATGTAAATTATGGTAACTCAGCTAAACACAAAAACTACCCTATTATTATTCAAATAAAATGACTTACTCTCACTCTTTTTTTATTTTTTTTTCTCTTAAATAAATCATATATTAAATCATGTACTTTATGTATATGTGCAAAATTTAAGATGAATTAAGGAATTAACTTAGCTTTTTTTTTTTTTTTTGGGGGGGGGGGGGGTTGAGGGGGGTTTAAATGATGATTAAATCAGTAGTTACTATTCAGTGGTGTGCATTGAGTAAACCCATCTCTTGTATAATAATTAGCAAATAATACAAGAGAAGTAACCAAGGATGAATTTGTGTGACTAGCTTGATCAAAAGGATATAAATAATAATTGAACTCATATATTTCTAGTACGAAGGTCATGAATGGGTGATTATATATTGTGAACTCGTAACATGAGTTTTAATTTTTGGTAGATCAAGTGGGAATGTAGGGAGGTTGGACATATAGACCGAGTTATGACATTGTTTGTATTACATGTGTTTATTTGTGTGTTTTACAAAATGGATTAAAATCCGTTGTCATTGCAAGAAGAAGAAGAAAAACTCACATGGCTAACATATCATTTAAAAAATGATGAGTACTCAAAGTCGTCTAATAATATCTAGAGCTGTTAAAATGGGATTAGCGTGATGTGTCGACCTGATATGATATATAATAAGGATTCGTTAGGTTGGGGATTTAGTGAGACCCATTCATGCCACAAGTTCCAGTTGGGCGAGGTAAGCTACAAGTTAATTGACTGGCCATATCTCAAAAAACGAAAAATATCCTAAACTTTGTATTAAGGTTGCTTAGTAATTTAGCCTTTACTTTATTTAACTTTTATATACTTGTAATTTTTGGGTGACGAGAGAAATTTGTCGCCACTATCAAAAGGTATGCACAGGGTTATTCCCACTTTTGTGTAATATTATACTATTTTATCAAGTTAATTACGTTTCATATTTTATTATGAATAACTTTTATAGCGTTTAGAATATTTTGATTTATTGCTCCCAATAATTAAGCTATGCTCTTATTTGTAAGTTTTGTTTTATAAATTTTAATTAAAAATTCCTTTATTATTTATTATAATAATAATTAATGTGATTCTCTAGATGCTCATTTGATTTTAAATTATTTATTCATTTTTATTAACTATAACTAGCATTTTGTACGCGCGATGCGCGAAAAATTCATGCCCAATATTAAAACATTGATAAATACAAATAATTAAAAATTATAATTTAAATTATATATATACAAATAATATATGTATTTTGTACACATACATATAATTTATCATTCATAGAAATTTAATTAAAATATAATTAAGTATTAAATTAATATATAATGATTTTAATAAAATGATAATTAAAAATAAGAAAAAGATATGATAGATATAGGTGTATGGTAATAATGATGTGTTATTAAAGTTAGAATTAAAAATGAACGGTGTTATAACGGTGTAAGGGTAGTTTTGTCTAATAACATTGGAATGTACAACATTTAAAGTAAAATGTACACATTTATTTGCATACAAAAAGAGAGACATAAATCAAGGATATAACTTTCATTGAGGCTTATTATGTTTTTAGATTCTTTATTTATGAAATCACTGATGCGGTTATTGATTATTTTGGATTTTAGAATGCATCTAGAATTGTTTTCATGTGTATGTATAATTGTCACAAACTTGTGAATCTTATTTCAAGTTATTTGACAATAGTATTTTTCTCTTATTTAATTCAAATTTTAGTTATAAAAATATATATTAATTTAGTATAGAGTCGTTTTTGTTGCTACGCACTGGGCCTATAAAATGATAGGACCGGGACTGCTAGTAAACCACACAAGAGAGGCAAATCGCGATGGTTTCGACCAAGAGAGTATTAGCAATAATTGAAAATGTGATATTTAGGTATGAAAATCATGCTTCACTCACTTGGCCACCCCCTTTAGTGTTGGCAAGAATTCAACTCGACAGACTTGACCGAGAAAATGTAAACAAGAATTGAACTCATTACATTTTGGTACAAGAATCATGCTCCACCCACTCAATGGAACCTTCACCCGTTCTGGTCTCGGAGCCAGGCTCCGAGGCAGAACGGCGGTCACTTGGGGTCGGTTGCGAAGGAAGGGCCCCCGGACTCCAGATTTGGGCTACGGGTCCCCTCTTTTAAGTCCAACCACTCGGCTCAAGTAGCCTGCTTAGGGCCAGCCATGGAGGTTGGGCCCTTGGACCCGAGACCTGTCCCTGCATTTGGTTCAAACCACCCGGCTCGGGTTTTCTATCTTGGGCTTGAATCACCTTCTTGGATCCTAGGTCCTCATTCTTGGGCTGCCGTTTCTAATATCTCCATCAATATCATTGATATCAAGCCCAAATCAGACTAAGCGGGTCATTATACTGTGGACCGCGGTGCACGTGCACCGCGGTCAAAACGGCACCGTTTCTTTAAGCGGCGCGCCGTTACTGTTAACGGATAGGGAGTGTGCATTTTTGTGTGTGTTAATTACCAACTGAAACTACAGTGTATCTAAACCGACACTGCCTCACGTATTATTTTATACATTATCAAATGAAACTGTAGTTATATCAAAATGATACCGTAGTTGTGGTAAAATGAAACTGCAGTGTATATAAAATGAAACTGAATAACATTTCACATATTTGAGTGTATATTGTTACTGTGCAATGAAGCTGTAGTTATATCGAAATGATCATGTAGTTGTGTTTTAATGAAACTATAATGTATATAAAATAAAATTAAATAACATTTGCACATATTTGAGTGTATAAATATCGAATGAAACTGTAGTTATATCGAAATGAAACTGTAGTTGTGTTGAACTGAAACCGCAGTGTATACAAAATGAAACTGAATAACAGAGTTACTTTTTGTGGAACGACGCAAAATGGGTGTCGTTTCTTTTAATTAAACAAAACGACGTCGTTTTATTTGAAGCTCGGTGCATAATCAATTATGCACTGCGGTGCACGATATAATTTGCCAGACTAAGCTTTTCAAATTTTCATCACATTTATATATCATAAGCATTAATTCCTTTCCTTTGAATTTTGATATAAGAGTCTCAACGTGACCTTCGTAAATGAGGGGATTGACCCGTTTGCTCCTCACAGATCTCAACCCTAATCAATTTACACAATCCAAAGTTCAAATTTTGAAGTCACAGATGATGGCGCCACCCCTATTATGTTAATCCCTAATGAAATTGGGTTGAAGAGCTATTACAAAGTACACCTTTTTCACAAAATTCAATTATCAATTACATCAAGATCATAGTAATAATTAAAGAAATTAGGTTTAACTTCATTTATTTGATTGTAGACTCATAAAGTACCAATAATATATGGTTAAAGACATATTGATACATTATAGCGGAGAGTGAGAGATTGTATAATGATGTAAAAGATTACAATTTTTTTACACATTTAATCTTATGATTATTATGTTCTTCTTATTTTTGGTCTTTGATATTTAAATTTTATACTTTTTGTTTATGACTTGTATTTTTTTAATAGTTATTTTAGAAAATTGCGTTATGTCTTTTTCCACTTAAACCTATGTTTAGTGACTTAAAATTTTGAACTAAATATGATCTTAAGAATATAGTAATACTCATACATCAATTACTATCAATTTTTAATGTCAACCACAAATTTTGAAGACTTTCTAAGTTTTCCCTTTTGTAATTTAGATTCGTATGTAGTTAGCTCTTAGCCTAAGGTTTTGAACTTCTACAAATATCTATTTATGCTTCTATTTTTTTTTTTTAAATTTAGATTTATTACCTATTATAATTTTGTTACAAAGTACTGTATAATTTAAGACTTACCAAAATTTAAGATTTCAGTTATTATAATTTAATACATGTATAAATGTACTCGTTCAATAAAAAAAATTTAACGTGAATATAATAAAATGTCCTAATAAAAAGTTGGAGACTTAAATAACACAAGTTTTGCCCTCTTTTAATGTGTGAGAAAAAAAAAAAAAGGAAAATAGTGTCAAATAAATCGCTAAATTTATAACTTTTGTGCAATTGAGATATGTTAAACTTAAAATGTGTGCATTGCAACCATTAAACAATAAAAATATGTGCAGTTGAGACACTTTTTTATTGTTCTTGCTATAATTTGCGTTGAAACTTTTGAAATTTTCCTCTGAGTCGGAAGATGAAAGGAAAGCTTTTATTACATGCCAGGTAACCAATGTAAGTGAATTCTAATGTCTCAATTACATATATTTTGTTTGTTTAATGGTTCAAATGCACACATTTTAAGTTCACTAATTTAATTAAAAAAACGAGACTGCAATATGATGAGGGGATTCAAATCTTCCAGCAACCCCGAGCAAGTATTCTAATTCATCTGAGAGAGGATGAGCTAGGGCTCTTTGGAGCCACGACTATCATGACCAACTAATGGTCTTGGATTTTTCTCTGGCTTAAAAAAAATACATTTAATGATTTTTGACTTTTTACCATAAAAAAATGTAATTTGTTAAGAGAATCATTTAACTTTGAACCGTTTAAAGTCAAAAAAGTAAGTATATAGAGTAAAAATTTAAAAGGGAAGTCACGTTGACATGTTCATCACCCTTGTGGGTAATTTGTTTATTGTTTCTTTAAGAAAGAGCTAACAGATGAGAGAAATAGACGTTGGGCATGTGTAGCAGACAGACAGTTACCTCAAAATTTGAAAATCTCAATTCTGTCTTGTAATAACAACATACGGAGTAAAATCAGAGAATAAAATCCCGAGCCCACCGTACATTCTCAGAATCTCTAGTCCTTTTTTCTTGTGGGAAATCACCTGAAGTTTTTAATCTTTTTTTGAGCCTCGATTCTTGATGGCCTAGCCCTCTGTTCACCTTGCCTCCTACATTCTTCTGTGATTGTTTGAAAAAAATGGATGGTTTAGTTGAGAGGAAGAAGAAAAGAGATGGGTCGTGTCCGTGCGAGTCGCTCAGTGAGTCCAGCTCGAGAGTGTCGATCTCCGACGCTTCGTCGGAGAGCTGTTCTTCTCCGGCCCCGTTGGGCTGGCCCATTCCGGTGACAACTGGGATCAAGAAATTATGTGAAGCTCAAAAAGAGAGAAAATCCCAGGAAGCTGATGAAGGGGTGGACTCGAAAATTTCAGGTTTTTATTGTCTGTTTAGTTTTGATGTTCTGTTATAATTTGATTAAAAAAAAAGTTGTCTTTTTGTGGTTCATATGATACTGTTTGTTTGGGCCATATATATGTGGTTTGAATTTGACAAGTTTTCTGGTTTCTGTTCCCCAGAATTTGATATGATGCAAGAGAGATTTGCAAAATTGCTGCTTGGAGAAGATATGTCTGGTGGTGGCAAAGGGGTTTCAGCAGCACTTGCAATTTCAAATGCCATTACTAATCTTTGTGGTACTTTTGATCCTCCTGTGTTTCTCTCTCTCTCTCTCTCTCAAACATACATTAATCTGCTATGTATATGTTGGGTGAAGGCCTGAAGGGTCAAGTCTTGCACCCTGCCTATCGAAAACGTGACGGTATATAGGGAAATAAAGTTGCGAGTTGTAGCTTTTTGCGTAGTTGTAAACGCTTATCCTAACAAGTGGTATCATGGGTCCAAGTCCCAGAAAGTAAAAACTGTTCATTTAAGACTGGCATGTGCTAGGAGGGGGAATTGTTGGGCAGAGGCCGGTGAAGAAGGGGTTCGTTTGGTCCTAACTGTATATGTTGTGTGTGTGTTGGATCATATCTCTACAATTTCGATATCTGATGCTCAAATTTGTGTCAGTAATTGTATAAATGACTGTGTTTGGTGCAACGTAACACAGCTACGGTTTTTGGGCAATTGTGGAGGTTGGAGCCATTGCATCCCGAAAAGAAATCGTTGTGGCGAAGAGAGATGGAGTGGCTTGTTGCTGTTAGTGATCACATTGTGGAATTAATACCTTCTTGGCAAACATTCCCTGATGGAAGTAGGCTAGAGGTATTTCTTGCTCTCTGTATATATATAATCAATCTCGATGGATATTTTCCATAGAAACCCACAGTCGAGAATTCGTTATATGAAGTTTCTTGTTAATTTCATGTTGCAATAGAGTATGTTTATCATGATTCTTTAATCACAGCATGAATAGCTTCAGATCTTATAGTTTTTGAGCTTTTGAGTTGTTCCTAATAGCAAATTTGTTAAGTTACCAAAATTTTCGTGTCAGGTGATGAGTAGCAGACCGCGATCAGATCTGTTTATTAACCTTCCAGCTCTTAGGAAACTCGACCACATGCTTACTGTAAGACTCGGCCTTTTTTGCTGTGTTCATATTATTTATGTGTTTAGGAACAGAAACTGTTCTAAAACCGAGTCGAATGATATGATGCAGGAAATCTTAGATAGTTTTACAGACACGGAGTTTTGGTATGTGGATCAAAGTGTGGTTGAAAGCGAGAGTGATGGTTCGGGGTCTTTCCGTAAGGCCATCCAGCGACAAGAAGACAAGTGGTGGCTGCCTGTCCCGAGGGTCCCTCCTAGCGGTCTCGTTGAGGGCACGAGGAAGAAGTTAAACCAGAAGCGTGAATGCGCGAGCCAGATTCTAAAAGCCGCTATGTCCATCAACAGCATTGCTATTGCTGAGATGGATGTTCCAGTCTCTTACTTGGAAGCTCTCCCAAAGGTCAGTACTCGTGATATTTGATCAAAAACGCAGATTAATGGCAGTCATTTTTGAATGTTTACATCGTTCTAGGGTGCTCGTTAAACTCGTTATCATTTCTTTGGTTGTGTCTAGAGCGGGAGAGGCTGTCTAGGAGATGTCGTTTATCGCTATATCACATCAGACCATTTCTCTTCGGAGTGCCTGCTCGATTGCCTTGACCTGTCTTCCGAGCACCTTGCTCTCGAGATGGCAAATTGTGTGGAAGCTGCAATATACGTTTGGCGTAGAAGACACCATTCAGGCCGTTTGACAGCAAAAACTTCTTGGAATATGGTTAAAGATCTGGTTGTTGATGGAGACAAGAGGGATTTGCTTGCAGAGAGAGCTGAGAATCTTCTTCTTTGCTTGAAGCAAAGATTCCCTGGCCTCACCCAAACCTCCCTGGATTCCTGCAAGATTCATTGCAATAAGGTCAATACTTTGCTCTTATTTCAACAGTGCATTAGTACAATGAAGTCTGCTTTCCTAAACCTTTTTTGTTTTCTCTATTCAATCTCGAAAATTTTTTCAGGATGTGGGGAAATCTATCCTCGAGAGCTACTCGAGGGTCCTAGAGAGCCTTGCTTTCAACATTGTGGCGCGCATAGATGATCTCCTATACGTGGATGACATAACGAGGCAATCTCAACCCGACGATGCAGAAATTTGCCCCCGAAAACTTCCAATCCCCCCCTATCCCTCGGTGCCTGTCTCCCCAGCCTTTGCTACTACAACCTTTTCTCCCGCGCCCCTGGTAAGCCCCGCGAGGACTTCATTCATCAGCAACAAGCTCCCTGGGCGGGCTTTTGGTGTCAAACGAGCCCTGTCGAACTATCTAGGTGGTGAAGCAAAGGCAAAGAACTCTGCAAAGGCCCCGGGAGCTTCCTCGCCTCCTGTTTCCAATCAAAGTTCACAACCATTATCATCGAAAACTTTCTTGGCGGGTGCAGATCAGCAGCACAAGGAGCAGCGTTCGATCTTGCAGCCACTTAATCGTTGAGCCATGCCATTGCAGTTTAATTTGCAGAAGAGTTTATTATAGAGAGATAGACAAACAAGATGTATGCCTTGTAAACTTCTTATATATACAGCATGTAAGAACATTATTCAAGCTTACTACCATACCTTTGAGTTTTTACATTAAAAACAAAAAAAGAACTTCTCAATTTTCTTTTAATTCGCCTGTCCATAGTTTAAAATGTACAGGACCTCAGCCAACTTGGTCAGATTGTTGACTTAGTAACAACAAGGTTACAAGTTTGACTCCTAGCTTGAGTGATTATAGGTTTACCTCTTTGTGGTTATTTACCGGCTAGGGTCACAAGGCGGGTATTTACCTCTGGTGCATGCTCTTGGACAATGTTGCAGAAGGCGCTAGGCGCTAGTCGGGCACCCGGGGGACGCCTAGCGCCTAGGCGCGGCTAAGTAATCCAAGTATATTGTCTCCACTTTTCCCACTTAGGGCTCGGAATTGTTAGAATGTTATAATCCCCCAAACTAGTCAATTGCATATGCTAAATGGTTAGTTGAGTACATGGCTAGAGAAATATAGAAGAAGAGTAGCTGAGCAGACAAAAAATCACTCGCCCAAGTTGAACGCCAATTCCGCTAAGTTGGGCACCGACTCGGTCGAGTTAGGTGCTCGACTCGGCCGAATTAGGCACTCAACTCAGCCGAATCAGCGCCTAGTCGGCCAGTTAGTCGGTCAGCCGACTAAAAGCTGTCTAGGACTGCAATGACATAGACGCCCCTAGGCTACTTTTTACAACATTATATTGCTCTTAAATAGTGACTGCAGGTTTCCTTTCTCATCCAAAAAATATATACAAGTAAATGCTCCGGTAGCATTTTTGTCCATCATCATTTCAGATGTACTAAAAAAGAAGCATGTAGCAACTTTTTTAACATAATCCATTTATTTGAGACATATATATGGGATAAGTACAAGGATGTCTGCAGTATATAGCCTAGCTTATATTATTCTCAAAAGCAGGAAAAAAAAAAAAGGAAAACAAAGGAAGAAACTGAGACATTGTTAGTTGTCTAGCCCCTTGCTGTTGTGAGATTGTCTTTTAAGGTTTCATCCATCAATAGTAGAGTGATCCTGCAGTTAAACCAACGAGAGATCGAGAAAAACAAAATTAGAAATTTCATTACCGATTCCTTTTTTCATACTAGACCAATATTCGATTTTGCAAAATGAGACTAAGCCAACCGAATCTTTGCTATAAGTAGAAAATAAATAATATAATCATACCCTGCCACCAATTTCCTCTTGAAGCACAGTTTGAATTGTTCCCATTTTCATCATCTTCTACTTCCTCTTTCTTGAACTGATGATAATCACAAGTATTGAATATATAATTTAACATAAGTTTTGTCCTCACTAATGTTGTTGTTCAAATTATAATTAGGTTTCATGATAAGAATCTAAATGGTTATGTCAATGACGACCTCTTTTAGCCATTCATTATATTCCACCTGGTATATATAAAGGGTATTTGTTTAGTTCATTTAAAATTGGGAGTCAAGGTATATTGAGAAAAGTAATTAATGAACATATATATGAATAGAGTTATAGATTAATACCACTATAATTGAATTAATACCTAAAATGGTTCTCGATTATAATGGTTTTTCTCAATTTCGTTTTAAATGACTTTAGTGACTTAATGTAATCCTAGACTTTTGTTCTTTTTGCTTAATTTAGTCATCCGTTTGTTAATTTGTCAAATTGGTGTTAAAATTGAGGACAATTCAATAATATCAATATTGACATCTCTTTACTCTCAGTTCTGCGAAGTGCGAAACCCCTCTTTCTTTTACGAATTACTCCCAAATCTGCGAAGTGCCTAATTATATTCGCAGGATTGGGAGGAATTCGTAAAAGAAATAGGGATTTCGCACTTTGCAGGTGTAGGAAAAAAGAGATGCCAATATTGAAATTACTAAATTGTCCATCTATTTAACACTAAATGGATGAAATAACAAACGGAAGACTAAATTGAGTAAAAACACAAAAGTCTGGGACTACATTAGGTCACCAAAGTCATTTAAGACGAAATTGAGAAAAACGATTATAGTCGAGAACTATTTTGAGTTTTAACTCACAGTAATTGTATTGTAATAATCTTAGCTTGCATCCTATCTATCATATGCCATGAAAAGGAAGCTAGGGTTTGTACTAACATAAGTATGATGAGAGCAAGGGGTGTGGTTGGTTGTTGGGGAATAAACTTCCTGGGCACCATAGTATATTGATGAACTGAAATTGCATGGTCTTTCTGCTCTTTCATCACCCTCAAACATGGAGCTTTTGATCTTGTAATCCATCCCTCTTTGAGTTGAACCATCTGGAAAATTATATATGAAACTTGGTAATGGTGGAGGCATACATATTACAATTTATATTCTGATATATCTCTAGCTAGAATAACATTATATTGATTCGATTTGTTGCTTGACGTCTTATACTTATGCCACTGAACTACATGCTCCTCCTCCTCAGAAATTCTTGTTTTTAGTGGAAATCCGTAACTACTACATACCTAAAGGTGTGCACTAAGTAATTAAACATTGTTGCCTTGTAACTCGGCCTAGCTAGCAAAGGACCACAAGGAGATAAACCAATCTAATCTGTCCACAGATGATATGCTAAATCCAAGAAGGCCAGGCCCCAATTGGCCATTACTGTTAGAGTCAAATTTGTAACCCCATGATTACTAAGTCAATGAAGTACATGGTAGTAAGCAATTCTTGTTAGTTGATTCTATGTATGTAGGGAAAAGAGAACATTTTATATACATTCACATTCAACTTATTAATTACTAGGTTGTAGGAAGCTAATTAAGGAAAAAGTTTTCACAAACCTGGAGTTCCACTTTTGGTAGTATTGCTATACATAACTCCATTATAAGTGGACTGCCTCCCCAATCCCTAATAATAACAATTCAAACATACGATTATATTAGAATTGGAATTCATGAATAAATTAATTAAAGTCGAATCATAATGCACATGATCAAAATTTACATTATATATATATATATAAACACATTATTATTTTTTAATTAATCTAATTTTTGGATATGATTATATGAAACCCTCTCAACATGAACAGTTTGCTACTACAAACGAGTTGGCATGATGACACAGCACGTGAAACAAGTAGAAATGGATGAATTGATGCATCCACTGCATATATACATACAATGTAACTAACAGCAAATAGTATGTATAGGAGCTGAGATTCTTTAATTTAAAGGTGATTTGGGGGTGTTTCGATAAATAGCTGTAAGTTGATTTAGTTAGTGAGTTTGACTACTTGATAATATTACCTGATTGTAAAAAGATGTTTGGTAAATTAACTATTAGCTGATTACATACAAAATGACTTTCTTAGTCGATCAAAAAAACTGCTTTTAGCAGTTTTTGAATTTTAGTGTTTTAGAGCAATAAACTGTTACAAAACCTAATTAATCAAATACTCATATTAGTGATTTAACCAAGTCAAACTGATAGGCTAACTATTTTAATAGGCCAAAGAGAGGTATATATATATATATATATATATATATATATATATATATATATATATATATATATTACCATGGAGGAAGGACCAAAAACAGATTCGAAGAGGCCAGAGGACGAGGTCGAGGATTCCGAGGAAACTTTGGGACCAAATAGATCAGTGGCAAAGGAGGAAGACGATGAAGCTTTAGCGTTTACTGCTGCCATTTTCTGCTGCTTCTTGTAGTGGGTTTTTATATCAATATTATTCTTCTTCTCCATAACTATTGTATTGAATTGTATGAATTGGAGTAGACTGCTAATTTAAGGTAGTTTGTGGGGGGTAGCTATTTATTTACAAACCAAAAGAGAGTAAATGGCATCATATCATATCATGCATCTAATAGATTAGCTTCCACCTTCTACGGATGTAACCCAAATAGCCAACATGACGTATAAGAATTTCTTCTTATAAAATTATTGGTTCTCTATTTTTATTTTGCTTATAAAGAAATTAAAAAAAAAAAGAAGAAAAGAAATACATGGAGGGTGGGTAATTGGGTATGAGATGGGGTGAATCCTAGTTGATTAGTGGAAACAACTTATAATTAGATTTTGTTTTTTTTAAAAAAAATTTCCATCGTGCATTTTTGTGCAAGAATATAATTGAACTCATGACATTCACTCATGCAGTCACCCCTTTCGAGGCATTGGATGAGTATTTTTTTTATTCCTCAACATCTCGTGTCTAGTAGTACGTCTTGGTTGACTAATTTGAAGTTGAATTGTTATCGGACCTATTTGAAAGAGCAGTCTCTGCATGCCTTTTACTTTATCCATAAGACGATTTTATCTTTGTAATTCTCTCTCATTTTCAAAAGTGTGGACCCTATTGTCATATCTAATTTCAAATGAGTTTGAATTCTAATTTTAATATTATTCTTGAACACATCCTTATAATCAGGGTTGCAAAAATCATGGCCTAGGCGTTAGGTGCCTGCCCACCGACTGGATTTTTACCATAATCTGTGTTCTAGGCCGCGGCGGGCTAGGTGGCCGATTAGCTATTGTTTCATTTTTAAATAGGTTATTTCTCTCAAAACGACGTTGTTTTGAGCAAAGTAACCATATAGTTCAAATCTGTCGCAAATTCAAAAAATATTTTTTAAAAAATTCGAAATCAACTACTCTAATATTGATACTTTGTGAGTCATGACTTTGTTGAATTGTGTTTTGATTCTTTAAATCTTTATACATTTTACAATTCTAGATGTTTTTAGGTTAATATTTAATATTTTAGTATTGCATATTAAAGTATTAAATAGTTTATAATTAATTACTTATCAAGTCTTAATTTTTTATTTTTTTTACAAATAAAAAAGTTTAAAAATATAAAAAAAGGAACCTAGGCGCTAGGCGCCCCTTAGGAGCCCGAGGAATGCTTAGCTAGCGATTTTTGCAACCTTACTTATAACTGAGTCCATGCATTGACATTGGGTATTATTCCTCAACATCTAAGTGTCTTGTAGTCTTGATTAACCAATTTGAAGTTTAACTGTTATCGGACTTATTTGAAAGAGTTCTCCGAATGTTTCTCTGAATGTCTATTACACTATTTTTTAAGATTAAACTAATCAAAATGTCTCTATCATTTACTTTTTTTTTTTAAAGAAAAAAAATATCAGAAAAATTAAAGCATTGAATAAAGTTTTCAAAATAAAATTGGGAATCAATGGAAGTAAAAAAGAAAACATAAAAAAAAGTTATTATTTTCCATCCCTACTTGATCGAAAATTCAAGAATAAAGGGTATGGTAGAAAACTTGTGCTATGAAAGAATTTCTCTGGTTGAAAATGAGAGAATAAGATTTTTGGAAGGATGGAAACTCTCTCTAGCCAACGATCGGAAGAAGATCGAGATCTTCTGGAACAGAGCACGAAGAAGCAGAAAGGTACGAACGGGGATCCAATGAGCTAGATGGTGAGCGTAACAAGGGAGAGGCCGCCGCATGCCGACATAGAGTTTGTGAACGAGACGCCGACAGAGGCGATGGTGCAGGCCGATGTTGAGATCACGACGGTCGGACAAACAATCCCAACGCCATCTGTGCAGGTTTTGCCGTCACCCCAACGAACGTATGCCCAGAGCGCATCCGGACAGAACGCTCTACCTTACCAGCCTTCTGGTGAAATGGGGTGGAGGCCGATCCAATGGAGGCTTTTCGATGAGGACGACGATGATCCCTTGTGTCCTACTATCCAATTGACGCAAGCGGAGGTGGAGGCGATCCGGGCTCCATGGAGGAAGACACTAATCATCAAGGTGATGGGCAGACGAGTGGGCTATGCCTATCTGGTCAGAAGACTCCAGTTGATGTGGCGGCCGAAGGCGAGCATGGATCTAATAGCCATTGACAACGATTATTACCTCGTGCGATTTGGCTCGGTGGATGATCTGGAGTTCGCTATGTTTGAGGGGCCTTGGATGATCATGGATCACTACCTCATAGTGAAGCCATGGGTGCCAGATTTTGATCCTTACACGGATAGCACGGAGAATGTCTTGGTGTTACACCCCAAAAATCCACATTCAATTCATGGATTAATTGAGTAATTAATCCTATTTTATTTGAAGCATTAATTCCTAAAATCCTGATTTTTAATACTTAAGGACTAGTATTTGGCTAGTCAACCTTAAAGTTGTGTTGTACCTTGAGCTTTGAGGGGAGTTCCCTTGTTCCTTACACTTTCTAAGGGTTAGTAAGGGTATTCTTGACTTTTCACTAAGAGTTAGTATTGTAACCTAACCTAGAAGACTTCTTCATTTCATTCCCTACAATTCTTAGAAATTAGCTCTACCTTCTCTCTAGAAAAGAAGTGTAGCTTATTCTCCAAGCCAAGTTAAGACCCTTGTCAAGATTTCAAGTTTTGCTTCCAAGATTCAACCTTTCACCTATTTGGGCATCTAGGAGGGTAAGATCTAAGTTTATCTTGTCTTTTTGGTTCCATCTTAGTTGTCTTTTTCTTAAAGGTAGGATCTTTATGATCTTTTGGTTTAATCTTGAAGTGGGTTTGGAAAGTAAGTGATGCGTAGTATATTTGCAAACAAATAATTCTCAGAGTACGAGTTATCGATCCACAGGGAAGTGGTTGTATCAAGCACTAGTTACTAACTTATTCATTAGAGCTAATCCTAACAATTACTTAGATGATTGATTGGCATAAAATAAATAAAATAAAACAGAGGTTCAGGATTTTGAAAACAATTAGAGAGAAGCTGAGATTCATGGGATTCAAGTATTTAATCACCTAGTGCTAATTATCGTTTGCAATATTTAGTTTGGAATTAAGATTTGTGTGGGAATGCAAAGTGGAATCGAATTACTCCCGTAATCTCTATTCCTAGTGAATTTCCACTCCCGTGGCTTAAACACCCAATAAGATCGAAGATCAGCATTCAATTATTCCTAATTACTACCATCTCCCGATTGGCAACAATCTAGAATAAACTTCCCCTAATAAGTTCCCCTTTCCCAAGGACCAACCATTAGGTGCAATCGTGTGTGCCCTAATTTATGCCCCAACTCCCATTGGTGACACAAACATGGCTATGAAGCTAGTAACTATGGCCATTAATTACAAGCATCAAACAATATTATCACGATTGCAACACAAGTATTAAACCCAGATAATAATATATTAAAGAAACTGAGAGCTCAGGCACATAGGTTCATAAACACTTTTACCCAAGAATCTCTAAAGAATTTAGCCAAGCATGACTAAATTATACATAGAAAATATAAATAAAGAATTACAAATCATCAAAAGAGTACAAGAATTAACCAGACGATTTTCCCAAATCTCCATAGTCTTCTTCTTGCTTTCCAAGACAACTTGTGGCTCTTGATTTCTCTCCTTCTTGTCTCCAAGAATCTCTGAATTCTCTCCGTCTCCTTTATTAGGGTTGAGGAAGGAGGGATTTTATAGTGGGTACAAAGTTGAGATGAAATAGGAATCTTGTACAAAATTGGACTCAAATTATAATTCCTATATTTAAATAAAGAAATTGACGCTTTTGCTTTAAAATTGAAGTTGGAATTTGGAATTTGGAATTTGCTGCGCCTTCGCTCGACGCGTCGAGACCAGCAGGTCCCGATCACCAAACTTTCTGGAAATTTTCGACGCGTCGAGTACTCTGGGCCCCGAACTTGTCCAAAATTGCTCCAAACTCATCCTTGAACTTCCCTTGCTCATAGAATTGACCTACAATGGTTCAAAAACACTAACAAACACCGTAAAACATTCAAAACAAGTGTGAACCATAATTAAGTGATAATAGCAAGGAAAATATGTATTAAATAAGCAAAATTAAAGAACTTAAATACTAAGATGATTCAAAATAACTATAAAAACAAGCTAAGATGTGATAACATCAGTAAGCCTTGTGGGGAACTTGTTGTGGTGTAAAGTGAAGTCTTTTGGTCTACAAGAGGTAACCCATGCTCTACAAAACCTATTTTGCTTACCTATATGTGATTTCTTGGATTCTACATGTGTTTTGCTATGAAATGTGAGGGTTTATGCATTTGTCTTGTGATATTGCATATCTAGAGCTTGTGTTTAGGGTTCCTTTGTGCCATTGCTTGACATTTTCCATGATTCAAGTCATTTTGTTGTATTGGGTGAGATTTGGCATGTTTTGGACTTGAATTTGTGTTTGGAGAAGAAAATCCCCGAAGGGATTTGTTGTGGAACAGGAATGTTCCCGCGGGCGGAATGGCGGGCGGGGCACCACCCGCCGGCCTACTCGCGGGTACAAAGCCCTGTGGGAATGTGTTCCCGCGGGCGGAACCACGGGTGGGGCACTACTCGTGGGTCCACCCGCGGGTACACGGTGGCGTTTGTTCGGAATTTGTTCCCCGTGATCCGTTTGACTAGGTATTCGATCTTTTGACTTCCCGATGTTCTTTGTGGAACTATTTGAGTGTCTTCTTGATGTTTCGTATGTCTAGAACTATATGGTAGGTATCCATGTAGGACTTTGGTGTCTTGAATCGTGCTAAGTGTTCGACATTGTGTTTCGTTGGACCAAGAGGTGTCTTGTGTGTTCCTCGGAACTATCTTGAGTTTCTCCGTTGTTAAGCATGCTAGTTTATTGTCTTAATGCTAGCGTGTGTGTGGTTTGTACCTTCCGTTTGGTTGATGATAACTTGTGTTATTCATCGTTGTTGTTGTTGGGTTGTGACCCGTTCCTTGATTGAGTATGTTTCATACCTTCGTTGTGATCCGTTGTTTGACGCTTGTT